ATTGAGGAGTTACTGAGGTGGTAACCGTCGATGATGTGGTGGCTCACAGTGATGGGCACATGGCGATCATGTGGATGAAGGGATGACATGGCGGCATGGGAGAGAGAGGAGAATGTGAGGTGGTAGTCATAAACATGACACGTGATGGCGATCAATGATTGCTATGTGGTATTTTAAATTTCTGTCACCAAGACGGATTATTGATGGAAATTTCTGTCACTAATTTGTGATGAAATTTTTTATCACAAATCCATCACTAATTTATGAAATTTTTTTTGCAGGATATCCTTCTCTAATTAGTGACAGGTTAATTTCTATTGCTAAACCGTCAGCAATCCGTCGCTAATTAGAGATGAAATTTTGAATTCCATCACTAATTATTTAGTGACGGTGGAATTAGTGATAGAAAAAATTCCGTCGCTAATTTTGTTGCTAACTAAATTCTGTCACTAATGCGTCGCTAATTTTGATTGGAGACGAAAATTTCGTCACTAAATTTCATCGCCAATTTGATGCTTTTTGGTAGTATATTCATATAAAGATAAATAGTCACTATAAGAGGAGATTGTTTAGATAAAGATGTTTATAATCAGTATGTCATGTTTTCTAATCAATGTGATTTTTTTTCCACATGAAATTAGCATTAAATGATTATATGAAAAAAGTTATTAAAAAAAAAAAAGAACATATGACAATTACGGTGGAGAACTTGATATTATAATTGTAGGAAAATTGACCTAAGTGTTTTTTAACAATTGGCAACAAAAAAAAAACTTGGGCACATCGGCATGGTGGAGACTTGTGAGCTGCATGGCAAATAACTATACAAAATAAAAAAGGGGTCCCGCAAAGGGAAGTTCACAAAAAAGAAAAAGTGGCATTATCAATTTAGGAATCTCATTGTAAAGGGAAGTTCAAAAAAAAGGAAAAGATAGTATTATCAATTTAAGAATCATATTTTCATTATCGTTACATTATGTGGCCTAGAAACCCCATAAAATACGTTAACTGATTGAAAGCTTGACTTGTGAGAAGGCCTTATCACAGTTCATTTTACACCGAATGAGTCTCTCTCTCTCTATCTATATATATATATATATATATATATATATATACTTAACACACAACTCTTTTTTCTTTAAGGTGTACGAGAAAAATGAAAAGAAGGGATGGGGAAGAAAAATTTTGATGAGTTTAATTTAAAAAATTGATGAAACAGGATTAAAAGTTTTTAATTAAGTTTTATTACTATTTATTTTTCATTTTTTTTATCAAAATTTTATAATCCAACTTTTTTAATTTTTTAAATTAAATTCATGAAAATTTTTCTTCCCTTCTCCTCCTCTCTATTTCCCTCATATCAAATATAGGGTAAAGCATAATTGTCTTGAATTCACCTCTAAAATAATAAAATAATAAATAAAATAAAATTAATTTGGCATCATCTCACAAGAAAAATAAAATAAAATACTCCTTCGATACTTAACGTAGAAATTAATTTGTAACTTAATACTGATCATATACGTAAGACTTATTTTATATTATTGTTAATTTTTTTAAAATTAATTCTATTGATATTCGGTTAACAATGATTAAGTAGGAAAGAAAATGAGTGAATTAAAAAATAATAATTATGATGTTTCAAAAAAATATTATATTAACTTATTTAATTTATATTTTGTCTATAAAAATTAATTAATTAACGAGCCCGCCCGTCAAAGGTGGTTGGCTACAAAGGAGATCAATTATTGAATGGGAGCAAAACACCTTTGGCCCATGCATAATCATGACTTCACTTTTCCATTTTTCTAAAGATGGCTCAAATTTTTCACATGGATTTCGTCTCGTTCAGAAAAATTTTGATAATATGATTGGTATGACCTGTAAATAAAAATGTTCATCAATCATTAATAAGCCCTCCAGAGTATTCAAAGGATTTATAGCCAGTGAATGCTTGGGATTGCTTTTCTTTTGTTTTTTTTTTATGTAGCATAATTAAAATTATTTAACATTTTTTTTGTGAAAAATGCCACTTATTTAAAGTATGATTGTGTTGTTACGTTTTGATTGAGAATCTTATTAAAGAGAAGTGAAACAAATAAAAAGAGGAAGTTAACTTGGTTTTTTTGTTTTTATTAAATTGAAATCCTCTGTTTTCAAGTGAAAGCAGTGTGGAAGTCTGATCCTATGGATCTTTCTACTTTTATCATGCAAGATAGCTTATGAAAGTAGTTAATGAAGGAGCAATATCCAAAAGCTGATATATAGCAATTCATGTCTGAAATTAAAACATATATATAGTCCTCTATAATTTAAAGCAGCATTGCAATTGAAAATATGAGAAATAACAGAGTTCATAGGAAAAGAATTAGATTAGAGTCATGGGCCCAACTCATACACATTAAGAAAAACATTATAAATAACATTTTTTTAGAAGAATACACTAAGACTAATTGGAATAATTAAATATGTTACTCTTTAACAGAGGAAGTGGTTCTATAAAGCGTGAACTGAGTATATACTTTAATTGAAGAAATTTTCTTACTAGAAGAACTTGAGGAAGGTTTTAGAATGATAAAAATGAAGTTAAATTTTTGAGTGGTAATTGAGGGCCCTCTACATTATTGTCAATGGTTTGTCACACGTGGAAAAGAATCCCAAAGAAAGAACAAAGAACTCAGCAGCGCCTAACAATTTCTATCCAATTAATTATCAAATTGACAAATGGTAACATTGTGCCACCGTTAATTTTGCGATGCCTAATTCATCTTGAAAATTAGTTTAAATACATAATCACTTGGATTCAGATTCAATTTTGTCTTAAAAATTGCGTAGGAATTGTTGGCATCTGGAAATTTTTGACTATCAATGTCGCTCAAAAAATATTAAAAAATAGCAAATCTACTATAACCGTTGAAAAACTAACATTAAGCTAATGTTGATTGTTAATATTTTTAATGATATGGGTAACATTGCTCCTTTTCTAAGGTTCATATTTATTACTCATATTTATTTAAATCATAATACATTTTTATTCATTTATTTTTGTGAATTATTAAATATCTTTAATAATTCCATTACTCTATAAGGTTAAAATGTATTTTGTTTATTTAATTATATTATATTCTTTTCTTAAGGGTGACATGCTAAAATTGCACAATTTTTCAACATATTTTCATCCAACCAACCAACCATAAAATTTTTCATCAATTCATTTTTCATTTTGGTACCTACCAAACAGGCTTTTGACCGGAAATTTTCCATTTCCTCCTTTTTCATTCTTGTCCATTCCAACCGATTTTTCCTATAAATCAGGCACTTAAAAAAGTGCTTCAGCATATTTGTTCTTGTCTTGTTAGATTGAATAAGTATTTATTTGGCAAACTCCCATAATCAGGAAACAAAATTTTAAAAAATAAAACTATTCATATGAGCGCGGAGCTCTAACATCTTGTTCCATCTTTTTCATGGCCTTCTTTTGCATGTACCCGTAAATATGTGTTTATTTTTATCGTTTCTCTTGGCGTTTTAATTTATTTTTAATAATTTAAAATCAAATAATTTTATTCTCTTATGTATTTTAAAATATTATCTTTATATTCTTTAATTTTCCCAATTTGATATATATTTATATATATCCAATCAAATTATACAAGAATTACCGTCTAACCACGACCTAACAGTAGTAATGTTGGCTCCAGCAATAAAAGAGAGAGCATTATTTTCCGCCCACAAGTCACTTTTTAATGATCCACCGATTGCATTTACTCTCCTTTTGATTTGAATAAAAAGCAATTTGTACTGTCAGTGTTGAATAGGACTCACATCCACCGACTTCCACTGTTTGTTTAGGGTCTATTTGAGGCAATAGCCTCTCTCTGTTCACCAAATCACCACTGTTCTGCAGTTTGGATTCCTCTCACCAATTTGTGTGTAAAATTAAAAGTATTAGAATATACTTAAAATGTCGAATGAGAATGGAAAAGTCAGTCAGTGCCTTTAGTTGGAGGAGGGCCCATGTCTCCGGTGATAGCGTTTATTCTGTTTTTTTTCTTTTGAGCTGGCATTGCCATTCTTTGGTTGAAATATTGGCGGCTAGTACATAATTTTTGAATTAATGTGCAATTTTTACAGTCTGTAAATGAGGTTGTACGAAAGAATATCACAAGCAATTTATTATAAGAAGAGGAGTGATAATTCAAGATAAGTACTATGAGCATATAGCCTCTCTATGTTCACCAATATACCACCACAGTTCCTGCTGCTTCAGTTCCATTTGGGTTGTCGATCATCATCTCTCCCACTTGTTTGAAGTTTCTGTTATTATTCTTCTTCCACAATCTTCTTGTTTGTTTGTTGGATCCTTCCTTTTGATCGTTTCTCCCTTGTGCTTCGTCTTTAATACTTTGTTTGCCCTCCTCCTCTGTACTTCGATCCTCTCCTTTCACTTTCTTCTCTACTTCCATCCATCGTCAAGACATTGACATAAAAAAATTGTGTGCTCTTCTTTTCAGTTCTTTTTATTTGTCTTTCTTTAAAAAAAGGGGAAAAAAATTGTGTGTTCTACTTGAATTCCTGTTTTCACTTTTTTTCTCTCCGGTTACTAAGGTTTCTGCTGTTTCAAAGTCTGTCCATTGAAAGGAGCCTGTATTTTTTAAACTTTGTTTTGTGTTAATTTGAATTATTTTCTACTTTAATTTTGGTTGATCATCGTTATCGTTGTTCATAGAAAACCCAACAAAAGTTTGTGTTTAAATTTTCTTTTCTCCTTAATCGTTGTTCTCGTAGTCCCCTTATCTTAAAAAATAAAAAACAAAAAACAAAAAAACAAAACAAAAAGAGGCCTTTATATCCAAGGCATCTTTTGAGAGGTGAGTATTTGTACTCCACTATACTTATGAATTATATTTATATCTTTTTTTTTAAATACATGTATATATGTGCGCGTGTAACACACATATTGTCTCTTAAACTTTCTTTGACTTGTTTTTATTTTTCAGATCTTAGTTGGTCACCTGAAGCCTGCTTGAAGATTTTGGATTCCTGTTAATTTCCAGGTTAGTATGTGTACAGTTTTAATTGTAGTATTATTTATAAAAAATTTTACAGGTTTCTTGAACTATCAACTCAGGTGCGGGTTATGTATACTAAATAATTGATCTCCTAAACATCTTCAGTTTTATTTATCAAATCCTGATTGGGTACATGAAACTTACAGATTTGTGATTTTTGTTGTCATTTTAGACGAAAATAGAAAGGAAATTGAGGGGGGGAAAAGGGAAGATTGCCATTACCTGTTTTTTTAATAGCTTATTTACTTTAATTATAAGTTAGGGAAGGCTTTTGTGCTTGAGTATTCAAATAAAGTCTTAAATTAGGTTTATTATCCGTAATACTGCATCTCCCTATAGTTTTACTACACCGGTGATTATCTTCAAATAAAGCTAATTCAATTTCAGTGCTGCTTACCGTTTGGACCGTCAAAATAAATATGGTCCATGTTTAATATATATTATTTTAACTATTTTTTATTTTAATAAATGTATGATTTTAAATTAAATAATCTTTTAATCCTCGTTTTGTTAAAAAATCAATTTATTGTTTGAAAATTTACCTTTAAATACATCAAGTTAACTTGGAAATATTAAATTATTATTATTTTTATATAAATTTACGTGTAAATTTAAGAAGTTAAATTTTGCTTGTAAACGTGCTATGTTTCAATTTTGTAAATTATAAATTTACTATTTTATTAAAAATATTTTTGACCGTGCAGCGGTTGTTGGTGGTTGGTCAGCGCGATTTTTTTTTTAATTTTTAAAACCATTGTCACCGGAAGTTAAAGCCAAGGGATAAGTGCGACATTTTACATCAAGTTTCAAGAAATTTGAAAATATCTTGTATATTATTTGCTGGGTTCAAATCTTTTTTTCTGCCTAATCGTTGTTCTCATAGACTCATAATTGCTTTTCTTTAAAAAAAAAGAAAAAGAAAAAAAGCTTTTACAAGAAAACAATTCAAGCGGTAACGCACATAGAAATCTTCGAGAGGTAAGAATTTGTATTCCATGGTACTTATGAATTATTTTTGCATCTTCTTTTATAAACGTATACAAACATACATGCGTATATGCATTGTCTCTTAAACTTTCTTTAACTTATTTTTATTTATTAGACTTTTGATATATTACATGCATAATATTCCTTTTGATGTAGACTTTCGTGAGAATTTAAAAGCAGACCAATCATATTGTAAAACTCACTATCTAGAATATGGTAGGTGTAGTTGAAACATTTATAATAGTAGTGTAGCCAACAGTCCCTAATTGCATCGCATATCCCTGCATGTTAGATGGCGGCAATAGGAGAGGGCGTGGCCACCCATGTCGCGGAATCATTGGTAGATAAAGCAATGAAGGAACTCAAATACTTGTGTTGTTACAAGACATATGTCGATGACTTTGAAGAGGAGAAGACGAGTTTGAGTGCAAAAAGAAACACAGTGCTTAAGAATATTAAAGAAGCCAACCACAGAAATGAGAATCAGGTTGAAGATGAGGTTGAACTGTGGTTAGGCAGAGCCAAAGATCTCATAGAAGAAGACACAAAAGGAAAGAAGAAATGGTTTGATTTGGTCACTAATTGCTTTTGGCAGTACAAGCGAGGCAAGGAGCTGCAAGGGAAGACGCAAAAGATTAAACAGCTACTGTTGGAACAGAGTAACTTCTCTCGTGTTGCTCGTTCAACTGGGCTTCCAGGCATCGAGTTCTATTCTTCTCCAAATTTTATGACTTTCGAGGATAGAAAGTTGATCTCTGAGGAGCTGAAGGAGAAGTTGAAGGAGGCATTGAAAGATGACAATAGGTTTATGATTGGATTGTATGGGCTAGGCGGAACAGGGAAAACCACAATGGCAATAGAAGTAGGTAAAGATGTTGAGGAATCAAAGTTGTTTGATAAAGTCATCTTCAGTGTTGTCTCAAAGGATGCAAACTTGAAAAATATTCGGGACAACATTGCAAAACACTTAGATCTGTCTTTAACAGAAGGAATGGATGAATCTGGACAAGCACAAAAATTATGGAAAACAATAGCAGAAGGTGGAAAAAAGGTACTTATAATATTAGATGACATGTGGGAAAAACTTACACTGCGAGATATAGGGATTCCTCTTGGCCGCCATGGCAAGGGTTGTTGTGCTGTTTTGTTGACCACACGTGATCGAAGAGTTTGTATAGATATGGACTGCAATGAGCCTAGTCAACTTGAGGTCCTGAAAGAAAAGGACGCGGTTGATCTTTTCCTAACTTATGCTGGCATGAGCATAGATGGTCCTTCCAATCATTTGAAGGATGTGGCTAGAGATATTGTGAAGGAGTGTGGAAGTTTACCGATTGCAATTGTAGCAGTGGCAAGTGCACTAAAGTCTAGGCCTTTACGAGAATGGCAGGATAGTTTGAAAAGATTGCAGAATCATGAGGGAATTCACGATGTTAAAGAAGAGTTAAAACAGGCTTATAACTCTTTGAGATTAAGCTATGATTATCTCAAGAATGAAAAGGCCAAACAACTCTTTCTTCTCTGCTCTCTCTTCCCTGAAGATTATGAAATACCTATAGAATTTTTAACTAGAATTGCTATAGGTCTTGGGCTTTGTGGAGAAGCAAACAAATACTCTGTTGCAAGAAGTTATTTCACTCCAATTAAAAATGTGCTCATAGATTCTTGTTTATTATTAAAGGTTGAGAATGAGTGTGTCAAAATGCATGACTTGGTTCGGGAGGTAGCTCTATGGATTGGAAACAAACAGGTTCAAGTGGGCTTTAATTCTAACTCAGCTTTAATGGAAAACATCCAATATTCATCTTGGAACATAGTTGACTTTCCGAATCATTTTGATGGCAAAAAACTTGAGGTTCTTTTGCTTTGGATAAATGATGCAAATTCTCCTAGGGTCAAAGCTCCCGATGCTCCCTTTGAAGGGATGGAGAACCTTAAGATTTTGGCTTTAATGAGTTCGTCATATTTGGAAACTTTAGCTGCTTCCTTATTTCAATCACCTTTGTCATTGACAAATGTTCGAACTTTAGCTATAAAGAATTTTAAGTCATTAGGAGATATATCTATTTTGGTAAATCTAAAAAACCTTGAGAGCCTTGAATTGAACAAATGTTCAATTACTGAATTGCCAAATAAAATTAAAGAACTTGAAAGATTGAGATTGTTGGAGATGGTAGACTGTTCTATTACTGAAAGAAGTAATCCTTTTGAAGTGATTGGAAATTGCTCACAGTTAGAGGAGTTGTATTATGTGTCAAATCAAGTGGCCGGTTATTTTGGGCAAATCACCACACTTCCTACATTGCAAAAGTATCATATAAGGGGTTGGCATCATTTTGATTTTTATAAAGTGGATTTTTCAGTATCTAGATATTTTGATTCACGGGACTTAAGAGTAGACTTCTCCAAGGAAATATTTAAACTCCTGGTGGCGGGAGCAGAAATTTTGATGTTAGGAGAAGATTACTACAATAGAGGATGGACAAATATTGTTCCTGACATATTATCTGTGGAAGATGACAGCATGAAAGATCAATTAACCAGGCTCTCTTTGCATTCTATGAATGAGATAAAGTGCCTAATCCATACCGAGAATCTCCGACCTAATGTGGCTATCTTCTCCAAGTTGGTTGAACTGAAGCTTAAGTCTGTGGGTGTGAGAGAACTATGCCATGGGACTTATCCTGTTGACTTTTTGAAGCAATTGAAGAAGCTGCAGTTATCTAGATGTGAACAATTGGAAGGCACGTTATTTGATGGCAAGCTAGAACTGTGTAATCTTAGGTCCATATATTTATATGATTGTTCAATGACATGCCTTTTTCATGCATTCACAGCAAAGAGTCTAAAGCAGTTGGAAACATTGGATATTCAAAAATGTTTGAAGTTGAAATACATAGTAGCAGAGACTACGGATGATCAGGATCATAATCAAAAGAGTCATGACTCAATGTTGCCAAAATTGAAATATCTCACAATCAACCGTTGTGCTGAATTAGAATTTATATTGCCAATATGTTTTTGCGAAGACCTTCCACTACTAGAAAGTATGAAGATTATAGGTTGTGAGAAACTAAAATACGTATTTGGGCAATATCCAAAGCATAGAGATTTGCACCAAATGGGGAAAGAAGCCATCCTCCAGTTGCTAGAAGGATTGAGAATTTATGAGGTACCGAATTTCATCAACATATATGCAGAATGTTATCTCCCACAGCCTTGTTTTGATGAAGTTCAAAAGTCATCTCCAAGCACAAAGGTAGATGGCAGTAGCAGTCTATCAAGGGGTCGTCTATGTTGTTTTTGGCCAAAAGCAAAAGCCTCAACTATAATTCACACTTCTGCTCCTATGAACACTCAATCGAACCATAATCAGGTAATATCTCTTACTCTATTTTGTTTTAAATCTTTATTTGTAATAATGTATGAATCACCCAAATATGCATTGCTAAACTTCTTCTTGTATATATGATGAGAATATCAATTTGTCTTAAAGTAACAAAATTAATTTTGCATTTCTCTTTTTTGCCATCTAATTGAGACACTAGGCACAGTTGGCAAAAACCAAAAAATTCACTCAAATATATGCTGCAAATTACTTGCACGTTTTTTTTTAGCACATTATATTTACACTGCTTTGGGTCTTCCTCTGTACGCTACCCACCTGAAAATTTGTCTGTTTATAATTACTAATTGTAGAAGAACTTAATTTTGTTGGGAAAATTGGGGGAAGGACCCAAAAAAAGTAATATTTACTAAAAAAGATCTGATTATAAGAAGCAAATACTAAAATATAAATTTAAAATATAATAAATTATCCCTAAGTCCCTAACAATCCTTAATTTAAACTAAAATTTTTAATAATCCTTTTCTCATCAATATTTGAAACGAAATTTATTAAAATCAGTCAAAATCATTTATATTAATCTATCTAAAATATCTTATATATCTAAACACACAATGAAGTAAAATCATTCATCTACATGAATTGTGCTATCAAGAGTTAATTTTTAAGTTGCAATTGAAAGCCCTCTTTTTTTCCCCCAAATATCTCTTTCTTGACTTATTTTTATAAATCGTTTTACCATTTTTTATATATATTTAAATTTAATAGATATATTTTAATTAATTTCAATAAATAGAATTAGAACTTTTATAAATATTTTTACCAATTTCAATTTTTGAAAATAGAAAATAATTAATTAAATAACATTATTAATATTTATTTTTACCTAAAACTTTCCATTCCCTTAATTTTAAAAAGGAGAATCCCAAAGAATTACCTTTGAATTTTAAAATGCTACACCGGTCATGTTTACTACACTTTAATAGCAATTGATAATATTGGAGAAGTAAATGACAACACATTTTGTAGTTATTTTTTATTTGAGATTTTGAAATTTTAGAGATATTTTTTAGAATTTTTTCATCTTTAAATGTTTTTTATTACCATTTACTTTAATACAAACATATCAAGATCGAGAAAAAACAAAACAAAAAGATTATGAAAATTGATAACAAATAAGAAATAGTGTGCAGATAAAAATTATAGCTATGAAAAACTTTGAGTAATATTTGATCAATTTGATTTCTACATTATTTTTATGCCACCATATATCTCCCTCAAAAATCATATGAAACCAACTTACGGAGCTCATTTTTTCTTCTGATTCGTTGATTTATGTTGAAAGTGATACAATTTTACTTTTAATCCAATATTGTTAAAATATGAAATTTGTTGCTATGTATTATAGGAGTTGATCCCTAAAACACGGAGGGGCCGTATGTGAGATGTGGTTAGAGAAAACTTAAGAATTTAGTTAGGAATAGTTTATTATTTTTGAAATTACAGTTTTATAGTTTATCCTTATAAATAATTACAAATTTTAATATCTCTTCAATAGATATTATTTTGTGTAGGTTGTTCTCTTTAATTTTCCCCAATTTGTTCATATATAGTAGATCTTTCTTGTAATATCAGAAAAGTTTGAACATTAAGCATGTACCATAACTTGTACCATTCATTTTCAATTGATGAAAGACGAAGAATCCTCATATGTTTGTCTGGAATACAGGCATTGAAGGTGAAATATGTTGTCAACAGAGCTCATGGTCTTTTTACGCCGCCATTATACCCATGTAGAAGTTTGAGAAAGATACAGATAAATGGATTTTCTGAGTTAAAGTCACTCTTTACGCCATCCATTGCCTCATCATTGAAATTGCTGGAATGGTTGGAAGTTGAAAATTGCGATGCACTAGAGCACATAGTAACAGATGAGGAGCATGGTCATGATCGTAGGAATGTTAACTCTATTTTCCCAAACTTACGAGAGGTTGAAGTCTATGGCTGTAGCCACTTGGAATACATATTCCCAGCTTTTTATTCAAAAGACTTGAAGCATTTAGAATCTGTGGAGATCACCGGGGCTGGAATGTTGACACATGTCTTTGGGGAATGCCGTGCTGATGAGAATCTTAATGTTCAGGTTGATATTAATCTCCCAGCTCTGAAAAGGCTAGACCTTGATGATTTACCAAATATGGTTGGCATTTGTGCTAAAAACTATTATGTGAAGGAACTATATCTAGAATATATTAGGTTGAATGAATGCCCACAACTTCCTTTGAAAACTTTGATGGGCTTATTAGTTGATGGGCATAAAAGACAAGAAGATCAGTCAAGGAGAAAGGTAAACCTCCCTCCGACTTTTTTTTCCAGTTAATTTATGATTGATCAACTGAGAAACTCATTGATACTAATATATCTTAATGATACCCACAGGCATTACCTCTTGAGAAGAAAGGTAAACCACTTTCCAACATGAAAGACTTGCCCAAGTTTGAAGATATTGGTGTGGAACGAAAAATTCACATGAGTTTTCAAAATCTTTCGGAGCTAAAAATCCAGGGATGCAAACATTTGAAATTTATCTTCTGTGCATCTGTCTCAAGATGGCTGCAAAAACTGAAAATGTTACGGGTATCTAAGTGTGAAGAGCTAGTGAGCATTGTGGAGGATGAAGAGAATCACAAAAATCCTATGACTCCGCATCAAGTATGTTTCCCAGAGCTACACGTAATAACAGTGATGCATTGCATAAGTTTGAAATGCTTGTTCCCTATGTCATGTGGCAAGCTTCCACAACTCTTGTATGTGAATATAAAAGATGCACCTCGGCTTGGGCAAGTGTTTGGATGGAAGCAGGGAGAGAGACAGAAGCTGATCTTGGAGAATGTGCTTCCTAAACTAATTGCAATAAGACTAGTAGAACTGCCAACTCTTCATACTATCTGTCAAGGGATTGATTTTCAGACTGTTAAAATCCGTCATGTGCGTCGATGTCCTCCTGCTATTTCTTTAACTTCAACTTATGGTGGTAGCTACCATGAACGTAAGTATTTACATAGGTAATTCACTGCAACTACTAATCGCTACAATTTGTTCTCATAATAATGTGATTTTTTATTTTGGCAGTGGCTCAATTACTATCTCACACACTGTGGGATGACGGCTTGCGTCGCAGCAATATTTTGCTCTGGGTTTATGAGGTTAGTATCAAACCTAATAAAATGGCTTAATCAGCTTAGAGAGATGAAAAAAGCAGGCAGATAAGAAATGATAATATTTACACCAAGATTAACTAAAAATAAAATTGACCAATACATGAATATAGTTTCCCCCGCTACTAATATTTTAGCAGAAATTCCATACTCCACCAATTTTTCCTATTTAGTGGGCTAAGATTACAATCTTTATTAATGACTTCAACTCATTATTTTCTTTATACCTTGTTCTGAGGAATTAGAACCAACTCTGAAGAGAGACCTAACAATAGCCAATAACAGAACAAGCGTGTGTGCTTCCAAGCCAACACATCCTCTTTTACAAATTATTCTTCCTTTATTCCAAATTTTAGCTTGATTTAATTTGTAAAGTTTAATAATCAGAGTTCAACTAATTTCATCTTTTCTTATATGCCTTGTGTTGTTCAGGATGGACGGGAATCCGAGCTTGGAGAGGCACCAAAATCGCCAGAGGTACATGCATTATGCTTTTGTTGAGAAATTATAGAGAAAGGGTTAATAACAATACCTACAAATTTTGATAGAAATTGACCAATACATGAATAAAAATTTTGCTCGCTACTGATTTTGGCGGAAATTCCATGCATCCACCTATTTTTCCTATTTAGTGGGTTAAGATTACAGTCTTTATTAATGACTTCAACTCGCTATTTTCTTTATACCTTGTTCTGAGGAATTAGAGCCAACTCTGGAGAGAGACCTAACAATAGTCAATAACATAACAAGCGTGTGTGCTACCAAGCGAACACATCCTCTCTTGCATATTATTCTTCCTTTATTCCAAATTTTAGCTTGATTTAATTTGTAAAGTTTAACGATCAGAGTTCAACTCATTTCATCTTTCCTTATATGTTTTGTGATTGTTCAGGATGAATGGGAATCCGAGGGTGCAGAGTCATCCGAGGTTATTGAAGAAGACTCCATAGTTTCACCAAAATCGCCAGAGGTACACACATTATGCTTGTGTTGAGAAATTATAGAGAAAGGGTTAATAACAATACCTACAAATTTTGGCAGAAATTGACCAATACATGAATAAAAATTTTGCTCACTACTGATTTTGGCGGAAATTCCATACAACATCCACCGTTTTTACCTATTTTAATTTGTGGGTTAAGGTTACAATTTTGCTAATGAATAATTAATTTGCATGTCCATACTAAAAATAATTTTTACAACAATATTAACTAAAAATAAAATTGAACAATACATGAATAAAATTTTCCCTTGCTACTAATATTTTAGCAGAAATTCCATACTCCACCAATTTTTCCTATTTAGTGGGCTAAGATTACAATCTTTATTTATGACTTCAAGTCACTGTTTTCTTTATATCTTGTTCTGAAGAATTAGAGCCAACTCTGAAGAGAGACCTAACAATAGTCGATCTTCCTTTGTTAAAAATTTTAGCACGATTTGTGAAGTTCAATTATCAGAGACTTCAACGCATTTCATCTTTTCTTATACATTTTTGATTGAACAAGCACCCATCATGCTTATTGAAGAAGACTACAAAATATAGTACACAAGCAAAACCATATTTTGCCAAATTTGTCAGAGCCACAAGCATTATGCATCTATTGAGTTAATAGAGAAAAAGGAATGAAAACAATAATTGCAGAGCATGAAATACACGTGTCAAGAAATTATATCAGTAGCTAATGAAAATATAAAGGTCTTCCACTATGTTCTGACGATTTAGGCTTGAGATGTTTAGGTTTGACATTGCTAGGCTTAGCAAATTGATTCTTAACCATTTTGGACCAAATGTTTGTGTTATTCTCAACAACTTCACTATAACAAAACAATGTCATAAACTTCTTAGCAACTCATTTCTCAACAAATACTTTCACTTGTATTTTCATTTAACAATGCTCAATTATGCAGCAATGCAGAAATGGAAAGGGTTTCATAGTATTGATATTGTTTTTAGTTTATATAGGAGTTTGCAAGAGCTTCTCATGTACCTTTTAGGAATCAAAGTTGATGTTGATAGTAAACTAATATATCTTTTTTTATTTTTCAGATCAGAGAAGAGGGATCATCACAAGAAGGCATAAAAAAAGACTCAACAATACCCCAACAGAATAATGGCTCAGCAAATTTTGAAAATGTATGCATATCATACTTTTTCTATAAATAACCACACTTAAGAAATCAACAATTGATTTCTCTCTTACCTCACTGTTTTATTCATTTGTTCCAAATAAATCAATTTTTTTTTATATATTTTGTGTGCTAATTCGATTTATTATGGTTATTAACACCATGAAAACTCAGCTTATCTTCTTTTTATATCTTTTTATTGATGTTTAGAGTGAAGAAGTATCAAAACAAATTGCTATAAGAGAATACACAACACACAAAACAAAAAGTAATTTGCCAAATTTGACAAAGGTGTGTACATTATGTTATTCTATAACAAGGACTTGAACCAATAAATAGTTCTCTTTAAATTAATATGCCATATGCTTCTTAATTATTTTAACATTTTTAGTAACCCATTCATATTTTATGAGTTACATAGGATACCATTGCATCAACAAGTGGAATTGTCGAAGAAAAACTCTCAACAACTCCGTCATCTAGTTCAGACATGGTAAGGATTGTTCTTCAATTTATGCTTCCACTGATATATACATATATATACATACATACATATATATATTTCCCCGAACACATAGTCATGTGGAAGTGGAAATGCCTTATAATAATAATGATTTTGTTCTATAGATAAGAGCTGGTAAGAGCCTCTAATGCATAGCTTGGTCATCAAAGTGGACACTAACAGTAAACTTAAAACAGATTTAAGATACCAACAGATTGTAAGTTTGGATAGTTAGGTCGGTTCCTATTTCTCATATATGCCCACAATGACTACCCATCATTTAGTTCAAATAATTTAAGAGTGAATCCCGGAACAAAGACCTTCACTTATATGTTTACTGAACTACTCATTTCAATAAAATAGTATATATACTACTCCCTGATCCAATCCTATACATAAGTAACTTTTAATTATCTCACCAACCAAGAAGAAGTAGGTACACTATTGAATGCATCATCTTTAAAAACAATTGTCTTTCTCATGTGCAACATCTTATGCCTAGAAAATTGCAAAAGGCTAAAATTAAAAGAGAATAATAGTAACCTGTAGTCTTTTTTATTATGCAAAATGGCTTATAAAAAGAGATAATTTTTTAAAGACAGTAACCTATATATAAAATTGAAGGAAGTATAAAATTTCGCAAGTAAAGAATATAAAGAGATGGCAATAAAAGTAACTTCCCTATGCTATGCAATAGATAAGGAAACAATGGAGCTAAGTGTTCAACAAGGTTGTAAACTAGATGAAGCTAATAAATCAAGTCAAATCGTGACTTCAGAATTAAGCAACACATCCCCAACAACATTTTCCGTTGTTTAAGAAAATGAGCCCACATGTAAGAATATTATGCTTCCTTATATGGGTTGAATCAACAAGCATTATCAAAATCAGGAGATGATATGCGTTCTAATGATTCACAAAATGCTAACATTTGACAGAAGATTATACTATTTACAATGCTTTAGTGTCATAGAAATAATCCTTAAACTTACATATCATTTGGTGTTGGGCAGAACCTCAAAGCAACTTTTGGAGAAGGTCCTTCATTTGAGAAGTATGACAAAGAAAGTTCATCAGCTTCTTCAAAGCCGAAAACTGAAGAACCTTACACATTAACTCCTTCTGAAGTAAGCTCGCTACATTCATTTTAACTTTATATAAATGTCTTCTTGTTTATTCATTCCTTAATGTGCTTAGGAGTTATGTGGAAAGGAACCAATGGGTGATCAACAAGCACCTGGAGAAAATAAAATCTCTAACGAACCTCCTCAAAGAGTTAAAGAACCTATCAAAGAATTTTCCTCCAAAGAAACATCAAATGAAATGGTATTGATGATACCACCATCTATGTCTTTTGGAAAGACCTCTCCACCAGTAAATATTTGGTTTCTAATGCATTTGCATTATTAATAAATTATTGGCTTCCATTCAAATTCGTCTTTCCATTTCTATGCTTTTAGGTCTCTTCAATCCCATCTCCCAAAAAGCCTCAAATAGCAACTTCAGCATCTCACGTGGAAATGGAGTCAGGGATCTCTGCTATTACCGATCACACTGCACAAGTAAGCCTTCATTTTATTGCATTGGTTTAGGGATGAAATTTTATTCTTTAAAACTGGCATAAACTTAATGCTAGAATAGAACAATTTGATAATCAACTGGTGCTCTGTTTTTATGAAGCAACAGGAGCGTATTTTGATTCCACTATATATCACCTTCTTTTCAATCTAATACCTAAATAAACTAACTAGTATGAACATTTCTTTTCAATCTGCACCTGATTAAGAAGGTCAAGGATTAATAACTCTGTTTCCTTTGCTTAGACATAAATATGCGGAAGGAAACGCATTTTAATTCATTATATCCTGTTGGTGACAATAATGGTTGCTTCATTTGATTCACTTCAACAGGATAAAATCATGGACAAACCAGAGACCTCCGCTGGGAAACCAATTAAGTTTGACCAAGGAAACCAGAAGCAATTTGCAGAAGATGATCTGATGAGATTGTTCCGAATAATGGACGAAGGTGCTGAAATGGAAGTTCACATACCTGATGTATCCAAAATTGCAGCTCTTCGAGATGATAACGAGTTGAAGAAGGCTCTCACTGACTTGGAAGCCTCATTGAGGATGAGTCTGAGTGAAATAACTTGCTCCGAAGAGAGCAAACTTCGCCTTGAGAATGCTCTCAACATCTTATCCTCCCATTGTTCTGAAGAAGGAGCTCCCTCTCATGGCCTTCAAGCTACAATTCACTCTCTGCAACAAGAAATCCAGACTGTTCTATCTTCCTCCAAGCAAGCCTATGCCTCTATTGACACATTCAACGAGCTTGAACGAAAAGAGAAGCTTATCACTGAAGAAGCTTCAAAGAGAAAGGAAGCAGCCACAACTCTTCTGTCTAAAATTCACAATAAAGAGAGTTCTTTGGCCGAGGCTCAGCAAAAAGAAGCAGAGTTGAAGGAGAAAATCTCTAAGATTCAGGCTGAAGTGTATAGGAAGGAAAAAGAAATCCAAGAGTGTGAGATTGAACTGTTATCTCTCAAAAAACAAAAGAAGAAGAGTGTTTTTGAGACAATGGGGCTGATAAACCAGTTCGACGCAGTGAAGAGAGACAGGTATCACATGGAGGAAGAAAACATAAAAGCAAAGCAACAACTACAAAATATGGATGTTAAGTGGTCTTCTTGTCTATCCAATCTGAGAAAAGTCACACTGCTGCTAGGAGTTCATCTTCAACATAAGCTTTCATAGTTGGAGACTGATATTTTAATTTCCTAAACAATTCTACTGTGTGGTCGTGTTTATTAGTTGGTTTGTTAGCTATGTGTGTTGTGGGTTTTGTGTTTTGAGTTCTTGTGATTAAAACAAAAAAACAAAAAAAATGAAGAGGAAATTATTAAAAAAAAAACAAAGTAGGACGTGCGGATAATGATTGTTGAAGACTCGTTATTGTACATATGGCTTTGATTGTAGTGAAATTTTTCTGGACTGGGTCCCGTGGTTTTTATCTCTCACATTGAGGGGGTTTTCCACGTTAAAAAATTGTGTGTTCTGTAGTTTTTTTTTTTTTACGTGATACATTTTTTTAACGTTTAGATCATTTTATAGAAATTATTTTAACTTAGCTTTTAAAAATAAAAATTGTGTCTACTATATTATATTACCTCCCATCTTTAATAATTAATATAAGACTGAGTTGACTAATTTAAAGAAATTAAAGAAGTTAATAAATTTTTTTAAACTATTTAGATTTATTACTTTTTTAAAACTAATTTGCCTTATTTATAAAATGATATATAATCTAATGATTTTTTTTTGTATATTTAGAGAGATCATATAATAGATGTTATGATTAAGTCATGTAGTAATTTTTTTAATCTCCTTAATTTATTAAACTAGGTCTTCTATTAGTAACTGGAGGTAGTATTATATTTGTGCACATTTTTTCCCCGAATACATTTTTAAGATACCTACACAATGGCTAATGTGGTACTTCACTGTTCACTCAGACAAAAATGTTTCAATATATTGACTTACAAAAAAGTTTAATTACAAGCTTACAATAGCTTCAAGAAGCGAAATTGCTAAGCAAAAGTTATGGATTCTAGATTAAATTTTTCATCCACGAAGTTCAGATTTATTTCTCTAACGATTATTTCTCTCATGGTCGATGAGTTCATAGAGGGATTCAAATGACAAAGTGAATTGTAGATTTTCCATTAAATTTTTGGAATTTTACGAAATGATTTTTTTCAGTATTAATCTTTAATTTTTTTTCCTTTCATTCAAAAAACACTCTCATATCATATTTTTTATTTATTTTATTTATTTGTACTACTAAAGATATTAAATGTAAGTATTGGAAAGGTAAATATTGGACTGTTTATTATTAAAGAAAACCACACTGCCGCTTCAAAAGTTTCTGCGTGATGAATTCTTATGTTAATTCTTCATTATCCTTTGAACATTTGATTATTTTACTCGATTTTTGAGTAAAATAGTATGTTTCCAGAAATACAATATAGAAACAGAAGTTCTTTTTTTTTTTTTTTTTTTCAATTGCTCTGTTTGATCATTCTCTGCTTCATGGTAAGCTCTATTTCCAGAAATGTTTCAAGGGAACGAATATTTCTCCTCGTACTTTTTACTTCTTTTTTTTAATTTTTTTTTACTCATATGGTATTTATCTAACGTTCTCTAACTGCACGGACTTAATTATAACTTGGTAAATTGTGCAAAGTTAAATAAATAATTAGGTAATAATCATGGGACCTATTTTGAAATCCATGATAAGATTATAAGAGTAAAAACATAGCTTCGTTCACACGAAAATGGAGGATGAAATACTGAAAGCAAAGTTAAATGCACAAAGTTATTCTGCAAATTAAAGAAAGTAAAATAGTGTGGTAGAAGGATGATATGTATGCCTTTCTTCAATTTCTGAAAAGTCCATAGCTAGATTCCATCACACACAAAGTTGAAGAGTCATAGTTTTACCTTTCTGCCACAATTCAAATTTCAGAGACAAGCGAAGTGCCAAACTCATCGTTTCCCATCACTAAAGCTCCTGCTTTTGTAAACCAGTCTTCGTGTTTCATATTGGTCTTTGAATCCTTCTTGTGTTTCCAGTCTTTCCTTTCATTTGTCTGTCTATTAATTAGTAGCGTTGTTCTGTTGTTCTTCTAATTCAAAATAAAATAAAATGGAAAAGAAAAGACAGAGAAAAAATTTACTACAAAAAAACATGCTTTTAGCGACAAAATTAGTGACGGATACGGATTTGTTCCGTCGCTAATTCCTTTGTCGCTAATTACAGACGGAATTTTCCGTCGCTAATTCTTGACGGAAAAATTCTGTCGCTAACTCGATTTTTTAAAAAATAAAATAAAATGACACCTGTCACCTCTATCATTTGCCACGTCGTCACTGGGGACAACCTCCACGTGTCGCTGCCACCTCACGTCTACTGACACGTGTGTTGCCACCTCACCTTCGCATGCCACGTGTGCCTACCACCTCACCTCTACCTGCCATGTGTCACCCCCACATAATTCCCTTCTCAAAGTGACTTCTCCATGGCTTGAACCCAGGACCTCCTCAATGTGGACGTGCAGCTTTACCAGTTGAGCTGTAATGAACCTGTTGACTTATTACGTAAAATTAAATATATATTATTATTTTACACAAATAATTATATATACATATATATTATTAAAAACTAAAAATATACTATATGATAATTTTAATCATAACTATTTTAATGAAAAAATAAATTTTAAATATTTGTTTTACTATTTTTATAATGTTTTATTTTTTAAAAAATATTTTTAATATAATTTTAATTTCTAACGACACTAATTTTGAATTTTAAATCATAAATAATTTTTTATAAATATTTTTAAATTTATTTTTAATTAACATTGATAAGATATACAATTTAATTATATATATTATATTACATTTTATTACATTATGTATATGTGTTTTATATATTTGAAGAAAATCATTTACAATAAGTCAAAAAATCTTGTTATTCAAAAAATAACTATTATAATAAAATCTAATAAATTATTCTATATAAAAAATTAAATGATTTAAATAGATTATGATAAATAGTATTTTCCTACTTGTATATATATCCTATGTAATTTATTTTCTTAAAATTTGTGACGAAAACAAATTCCATAGCTAATTTCTGATAGAATTGCGACGGAATTGCCATCGCTAATTTATTTGCAACGGAATTAGCGACGGAATTTTCTGACAGAAAAAGATTTTGTCGCTAAATATTTATTAACGGATTTTCTAACGGATTAGCGACGGAATTTAGCGATGGACAGAAATTATATTAGCGACGAAAAAATTCCTTCGCTAATCTGTCAAAAAAATTAGCGACGGAATTTCCTTCGCAATTCCTTGAGAAATTAGCGACGGAATTTGTTTCCGTCACTAATTTGCGACGGAATTTTTTTCCATCTCAAATTCCGTCACTAATCAGCTGTTTTTAATTCCGTCATTAATCAGCTGTTTTTTTGTAGTGATTCTTCCTCTTCCTCTTCTTCAAACCAATTTGTGTGTTTATTATTTTCTTCTTGTGTTTCTTCTTATGTCTTTTTCCATATATTCTTCCTTTGATTTTTCATTTCTCTTTCTATTAAAAGAGTTTTTAATTTGTTTTTTTCTTCTTTTGTGAAGAACAAATTTTAACCTCTATTAAATTATTGTTTTTCTACTCTCAAAACTACTGATTGCTGTTATCATTGTTCCTCTCCTTTTGTTCAGAGAAAATTAAAAAAAAATTGTGTTCAAAACTTCCGATGCCACTTTGTTTGCTTTTTTTCTTTATATTTAAATTTCTCATTTGATTTTTTTTTCTCTCTACCATCGTTGTTCTCATAGCTCCTTTTCTTACCCAAAAAAAAAAAAAAGGAAAGGCAAAACAAAAAAGGCTTTTATATCAAAGGCATTGCAGCTTAAACGCATAGAATTCTCTGAGAGGTAAGAATTTATGTCCCATGATGCTTATGAACTAAGTTTGCATCTTCTTTTTGTACACTCGCACATGTATGTATGTATATAATATATATATATATATATATATCTATGTGTGTGTATATATTGTCTCTTTAACGTTCTACAACTCCTTTTTATTTATTAGATCTTGGTTGGCTGGTTACACGAAGCACAATTGGAGATTTCATTCATGTTTCCAGGTTAGAGTATGCATAATTTTCATATTAATAATCATTTGAAACGTATTCTTGTTATTGATTTTTTCTGTCATAAACAACACAACCATTTTAAGCTGAGTCTCGCTTTGCTTACATGTTTTATTGTGAGGCATACAATTATATATATAAGCACTAATTAGTAACATACTTATCTGGTCCTATTTATAGGGCAAACAAAGGAGAATTTTTTTTTGTTCTATTTATAAGGCACTGAAAAAAAAAAATTTTTGGATGGATGTACAATTTTACCTTTTATTTATTATTATGTTTACTTTGTTTATATAAGGTATAATGTATATTAACTAAGAATAAAGTTGAAAAGTTATTGAAATTTAAATGAGAGTTAATGAAGTTTAAAATTTTTCTTGGTTTGTGTAAAACATGTTGAAAATGATTTACAAATAGGACCAGAGGAGTATTGTATTAGGGCTTTGACATTCTAGATATTTTTACATTAAATCTCCTAAATATTTTCATTTTTATTCATCAAATTTTGGTTGGCTGCATAAAGCTTACTTGAAGATTTAAAATTTTGGTTGTCATTCTGGCCCCCAAAGGAAATCTCGAAAGAAAAGAAATGAAATGAAATAAAGAGAAGAAAATGATGAGATACCTATAGAACTTTTAGCCATCCCAAGCTTTACGGGAAAGCTGATAAACATTCTGCTACAAGAAGTCATTTCACTCCAATTAAAAATGAGCTCATGGATTGTTGTTTATTTTTAAAGGCTGAGAATGAATGCATCAAAATGTATGACTTGGTTTGGGAAGTGGCTTTGTTGATTGGGGAGATAACTTTTCAACAGGGTGTGGGTTATAACTTAATAACTTTAAAGGAGTACATCAGACGTAAACCTTAGAACATACTAACTTTTCACGTTACTTTTGTGATAAAAAACTTGAGAGTCTTTAAGTTTGGATAAATGACGCAAATTCAGAAACCAATAGATACTATCTTTGAAGGGTCAGGAGCCTTAAAAATTTGGCTATAGTATGCTCATTAGATATTCTAATTTCAGTGGCATTCTTACTTCAATTTCTATTGTCACTAATAAACGCCTGAACTTTAGCCTTTAAAGGACTTGAGTAAGGAGATATATCTTCGACCTGACGTGGCTATCTTCTCCAACTTGGTTGAACTGGAGCTTTTTTCCATGGATGGTAGAGAACTATGTCATGGTTCTTATCCTGGTGATTTTTTTAAGTAACAAAAGGAGCTGCAGTTATCCAAATGTGAAAAACTGGAAAGCACGTTATTTGATGGCAAGATGGAGCTTTATAATCTTAAGCGCATAGATTTATGTGGATGTTCAATGACAAGCCTTTTTCATCTGTCCACCGCACAGAGTCTAAAGCAATTAGAAGCATTGCAAATTAGAAGCTGTTTTGAGTTGAAATACATCGTAGCAGAGACCGTGGATGATCATGATCCTAATCAAAAGAATCATGACTTAATGTTCCCCAAATTGAAAGGTCTCTTACTCACAGTTTGTCCTGAATTAGAATTTATAATGCCAATACGTTTTTGTAAAGACCTTTCGCTATTGGAACGTATGCATATTTATTATTGTCGGAAGCTAAAATACATATTTGGGCAACAATATCCCAAGGAGACAGATTTAAATTTGCACCAAAAGGGAAAAGGAAACATCCTTCAATTGCTAGAAGAAGTGTGCATTTGGGGGGCACCAAATTTCATCAAACATATATGCAGAATATGAAGTACAAAAGTCTTCTCCAATTACAAAAGTGGAAGTTGGCACTAGCAGCTTATCAAAGAATCTTTTACATTGTTTTTGGCCAAAATCAAATGCCTCTACCAAACATCATCTTTCTGCTCCCATGACCACCCCACTGAATCATAAACAGGTAATATATGATGCAAATTACTCGCAAGTTATTTTTTTCAATTCATGAGAGAAGAACTCACATGTTTGCATGGAATACAGGCATTAAAGGTGAACTATGTTGTGAATCAAGCTCATGGACTTTTTACACCACCATTATACGCATTCAAAAGTTTGAGAAGGATGGAGATATTTGGATTGTGTGGGTCAAAGTCACTGTTTACCCAATCTATTGTCTCATCATTGAAATTGCTGGAATTATTGCAAGTCAAAAATTGCAATACATTAAAGCACATAGTAACAAATGAAGAGCGTGGTCATGATCATGTGAATGTTAACCATATCTTCCCCAACTTACGGGAGCTTTATGCCTCATACTGTAGCCACTTGGAATATATTCTCCCAGCTTTTTATTCAAAAAATAACATGAGCTTTCAAAATCTTTCCATGGTAACAATCCAAGGATGCAAACGACTAAAATTCATCTTCTGTGCATCTTCCTTAAGATGGCTGCAAAAACTGAAAAGGTTGGAGGTATTAGACTGTGAAGAGCTGGCGAGCATTATTGAGGATGAAGAGGATCAGAAAAATCCTATGCCTCTGCCTCAAGTATGTTTCCCAGAGCTATGTGGAATTACAGTGAAGCATTGCGAAAGGTTGAAATGCCTCTTCTCTAAATCAAGTGGTAAGCTTCCACAACTCTTATATATGAATGTAGAAGATGTGCCTCAGCTTGGGCAAGTGTTTGGATGGAAGCAAGAAGAGGGACAGAAGCTAGTCATGGGGGATATTCTTCCAAAACTAGTTGCAATAAGACTAGTAAAAATGCTAACTCTTCGTGCTATCTACCGATGAATTGATTTTCAGAATGTGAAAATCCGTCATGCGCGCGAATGTCCTAACATTTCTTTAACTTCAGCTAATGATAGCTATGATGAATGTAAGTATTCACATAGCTAATTCATTAAAACTTCCATAATTGCTTAAATTTGTTCTCATAATAATAGAGGTGTTCTATTTCGACAGTGCGTGGATTTTCATGGCTATTTCAAATACACTCTCAAGATGAAGAAGAATACTATGCAGAAATTTTGAACTGGGCTTTTGAGGTTAGTATCAAACTTAATAAAATGGCCATCGGCTAAAAGAAGAAACGCGGGGAGATGATAAATGATTATTTTTACACCAAGAGTAATGCCAAAGTGAAAAGGGTTCTAGTAGGAATGATTTTGCTTTTAGTCTATATGAGTCTGTAGGAGTCTCTGATCTTCTTTCAAACGGTTAAAGAACCAACCAGTGAATGTTCTGCCAAAGAAACATCAAACAAAAGCCACTTACGATTCCACCATTTGGTTTCTAATATAGTTGCACTATTGATATGTTATATTACTAGCTTTCATTTAGATTAATTTTTTCCAGTATAGTTGCACTATTGATATGTTATAGTACTCGCTTTCATTCAGATTAACTTTTCTATTTCTATGCTCTTAGATCTCTTCAATCTCTTCTCCCAAAAAGCCTCAAATAGAAACTTCAGCTCCTCACATGGAAGTGGAAACCAAGAACTCGCAATCAGACCCATTACTTGCTTCTACTATTACTGATCAATCTGCAAAAGTAAGCCTTCATTTGATTGCATAAGTTTTGGGACGTAATTTTATTCTTGAAAACTAGAATATTCTAATGCTAGAATAGAGCAATTTGATAATCAACCAATACCCATGTGTATTGAGTATACAGTATTTTGCTTGTTCTTCTTCGACACGTCGCAGCTAGAACATACAAAATTGGCTTTCTTACAATATTGAGGAGATAAAATTAATGCCTCATTTCATTTTCTTTAGGGTCAAATTACAGTCAATCAAAGAGGGAGCTCCGTTGACAATGATCTTAATAGATTATTACAAATAATGAAGGGTGGTTTTGAGTTGGAAGTTGGCCAGCCTTATATTTCCAAATTTGCTGCTTTTGAAGATGACGAAGTGGCTAAGGCCTTTGATGATTTAGAATCCTCATTGAAAATGGATCTCAATCAGATAGCTAACTCTAAAGAACCTACTCATTGCCTTGAGAATGCACTCAACTTCTTGTCCATCCATTTTTCTAAAGATGAAACTTCCTCTCACGGCCTTATTAGAGGCAAAATAGACTCTCTTCGAGAAGAAATCCTAAAATTTATCTCATCCTTCAAGCAAGCTAATGATAAGCTTGACAGATTCACCAAGCTTCTAGAAAAAGAGAAGTGGGTCGATGAAGAATATGCTCAAAAGATGGAGGTAGCTAATACTATTGTGTCTGAAATCCGCAATACTGAGAATTATATGATTGAATTGGAGGGACAGGTCTCTAGATTGCAGGCTGAATTGAAAAGCAACAAAGAAAAAGAATTAGAAGACTGTGAAATCAAGTTGTCTTCTCTTCAAAAGCAAAAGAAGGAATGTGTTTTGGACGTCATAAGGTTCATGGGAGAGTACGAGGCTGTGAAGAAAGACAAGTCCCATATGGTGGGCAGCCAAATAAGAGTAAGCCAAGAATTAAAAGAGTTGGAAAATCAATGGCCTTGTTGTCTGGTTGATTCGAGGAAAACTGCACTTTTGTTGGGAATCCTTCTTCAACAGTAGCTTTGATTGTTAGGGATTGTTAAGTAAATAACCCGAAAATAGCATTAAAAATATAAATTTCTAGAGGGTAGCCAGATAATTTTTCAATATATTGATCAGGTTGTCATATATGTTCTGGTGCGGTGTGTTATCGTTATGGGTGATTTTCACTTGGTTCAAAGTATGGGTTGGGTTAGCAATTCATGAAGACTCGTTTTTGCGTACACTGATTTTGTTCAAAGTGAAACTAGAATTTGGACCTGGTTAATGACCATATTTTTGTGCCTTAAATGATTCAGAGCATAGGAGCCTAATTCAGTATTGATATCTTGTGTACAGAAAGGAAAGATAATGCAAACTATGAAAAGTATGCAAAAGAGATGACTTTGAATGGAGAAAGAAAGTTTGGATATTAATATTTTCATTATTTACATTGATAAAAATCCTTGAGCAGAATTAATGGGAGATCAAATCATTAAGCAATGATCATTTGACAAGGGAACCATCATATTCAAAATCGAATCATTAATTCATTATCCCCCGTTGGGTGTACATGCGTAGGTATTGGCTTTTTAATTTCAATGTGTCATAATCTTCAACTTCATGGGAATTGTGCTATCATATAATGCTTAGTTTTCTTTCACACAAAATAGAATAAATTGTTGAATTTATAAAAAAGATTAATACAAATTTGAGTTCTCAAGTTTCAAATCTCAGATTTTCTTGTATTTAAAATATTAATCCCAGTAATCCAATAAAAACTTGACAATTTTACCCCTTGATGGACTAAAACCTATGGTTTGAAACTTAAAGAACTAAAACTAAAATGAGGACAAATTTAAAGGATCAAAGATTATATTAACTCTTATTTTAAAAAAAAAAAAACATGTTTGTGTGGCTGCATACCGCTACTCGTGATTGCTTGCAACAGTTCATTATTATACGCACACATATTCAAGAATAGAATAGGCAGGTTTCTGTGATTTTAGCCTAAATAACTCCTAAATTTACAAGAGGTGCTCTACCACCAATGGATTCTGTTATGTTTCTGTCAATTTCAGCTCTGATGTCTTGAAGCATTTCGCATCCACAAAACTCAAATGCTTCCCTTGTTGTTGCATATTGACTTTACTCTTGAGGAAGCTATTATTCTATCAAGTTTACTTCTTGCTTTGAAGCCAAGTGTCCTCTGCCACCACGATAACTAACCCATTCAAGCTTGGCAGAGAAATTTAGGCTTTAGGAGACTTACTGATTGCATTTAGCTTTGTTATAAATCATAACAAATGAGTAACAGTAAGAAATATTAGTGATATAGCTTTCACAATATTACTCTCACAATCGAGCTATATATCTAAGGCTGTATGCTGCACTTTTTAATATCAATGGACAGCTTCGAATATCATCAACTAGCGTAAATCCAACAGCAATGTATGATTGTGCGGTTACATTTTGATTAAGAGTCTTATCAAAGAGAAGAAAGTTAAATATATAAAGCCAAGAATGTTGTATCTGTCTGCAATGAATTTGAAATTTTGGCCAAAGAAACAAAAGAAAAGAGGAAGTTAACCGATTTTTTGTTTACTGTTAAGTTGAAATCCTCTGTTTTCTGGGATTCTAATCTTACGTATCACTGTACTTTTATCATGTAGGATAACTTTGAATACTCTTCCCCTTTGCCCCCTTCGATTTCCTTATCTTTAAAAACAAGAAGATCAAAACATCATGTCACCAATAGAAACTACGATCTCATTTGACGATGCTGAGTTCCAGGGGAGGCATATATCAATTGTTTGAATAATACTAATAATATTTTGCCAAAGACCCTTGGATCTAGTGCCTCACCGTATCAAACTCGTACTGTGTCTGAGTGTGTTTGTACGTTAAGTTTCATTTGACCCTTATAAAAATAAAATACTACTAATATTTTTGTTTTTCTCAACCTGCTCGGTTTGATCCGGATCGAGCCTGTCTCCTTTACGCTTTTCCATCCTCTACCCTCCTTTGCCTCAAACACACCGCTTTGGTGTCGAAATGGTGGGGTGGCGCCTTTTGTTTTTTTTGTTTTTGTTTTTTTTTGTTTTTGATTGGGGAAGGTATAACAAAAGCCACTAACTGCCTACGTCAGAAGTTAATAAATCAGTAAGGAAATCCCGGGGGGGGGGGGGGGGCTGAAACACGTGATGCCTTCAGCTGCACCTAGCGCTCGTTTAGCAAGGCAGTCTGCTGCTTGGTTCACTTCGCGGTTGCACCATTCCACTTTTACTTCCCAATCCTTGGCAACCCATGACCTGATCTCCGTCAGCAGAGTAAACTCAGGGTGATCCTCTTCCCATCCTTCAGCAACAAGCTCCACCAGTTCCAAGCAGTCAGTCTCGATAATCACCTGCCTTCGGTGGATGTCCCATGATGTTTTCAGCCCTAAGAGGACTGCCCAAGCTTCTGCATTCAAGCTACTTCCTCGCTCAATATTAAAAATAAAGCCAGTTAAAAACTCTCCGTTGTGTCCCCTAGCTACTCCTCCACATGCAGACATACCCCTCGTTGGGTCATACGAGCCGTCCACGTTGAACTTCACCCACCCCACAAACGGTGGTTGCCAGACAGCGTTGCTTTTCTCCACTTTTGCTTCCCGATATAGCCGAAAATCAGCCCATGATACAGTTGCTGAACTTGTGCCAGAATGTGACTCGGTCCTGTGGTCTTCCTATGGAAAACAAACTCGTTTCTGCTGATCCACAACCTCTTGCTCATGATAGTAAACCATACTCCCCAACGTGTACCCATGCATGTGGAAGTTTGGGTTATATTCCATTCCACCCACTCCCCTACCACCTGGAATGAGAAGAATTTATTCTAAAATTCTGGAGGCACAATCCTTTTCCAGCATTCCTTTGCTCTACCACAATCCCAAATAACATGTAATATGTCCTCTCTCGCACTGTTACAGACTGGGCATTCTTCATTTGACTGCAGACCACATGCCACTCGTAAACTATTGGTCATTAGGCGTCCTCTCACACACAGCCATAGGAAAGTTTTGCAAAGTTGAGGCACCAAATGCTTCTACAGTTTCCTCCATCGACTGCGGCCTGAGAAGTGAGAAGAATTGTTAAGTAACGAGTACGCCGAGCGAATGGAGAAGTCCCCACTCGAGGTTCCCTTCCACCTCACAGAATCTGTGTTGTCCCTTCCAACTGTTACGTATAAACGTTGAATACAATTAGTCACCGAGCTTGGGAGATATTTGGTGAACCGGTTCCATTCCCAGTTGCCCCACTCATCTATATAATCAACAACTCTATCATTTATGATAGAAATGGGAATTGGAGAAACTACAAGGTTGACCAGTTTATCATGATGTGGCAGCCAGAAGTCATTCCAGAAGGACACGTTTAAGCCATTACCTAGCTTCCATTCAAACCCCTTCGTGGTCTCCTCCCATGCTTGTTGTACTCCTTTCCAGGCTTGGGACATACTCTTCCTTCTTTCCACCTTTGGGATCACATCATTCCCACATTTATATTTCTCACGTAGGAGCTGCACCCAGAGCGCCTCTCTCCTTTTCGTGAGCCCCCAACCCAGCTTCATCATATATGCTTTATTTTGTTTCCTGGCACTTCTCAATCCTAATCCCCCTTCTTCCTTCCTTCTGCAAATATCCTCCCAAGCCACTGGATGAATTTTCCTTGAAGAGTTCGTACTGCCCCATAGGAAATCCCGGCATCTTTTACCAATCTCATTAGAGATATAGAAAGGTAGTGCTACCGTTTGCATTGTATATTGCGATATGGCCGACACAATAGAGGAGACTAGCATATGCCTGGCTCCCATGGATAACATATTAACCTTCCAGGTTGTAAGTCTTCTCTCTATTCTATCCAGGATATGCTGATAAGTACTCTTCACCACCTTCTTCTGATGTAATGGGACACCCAAGTATTTTCCCAGGTCACTTGTGGGTGTAAAGCCTAGAAGATCACTTCTTTCCTGTCTTCTAACATGGTTCACATTATTTGAGAAATAAATTCTCGACTTACTGTTATTAACTTTTCTGCCCAAGGTCAGGCAAAAATCATCTAAGCAAGCTTTAATCAGACCCGCCTGGTCCATGCTAGCTTCAACAAATAAGATAAGATCGTCACCAAAGAATAGATGGGATACCTATATACCATTCTTTTTTAGTTGAAAGAGGACCCAGTTGCCTTCAAAAACTTTGCTCTAGATGAGATGTGCTAACTTCTCCATAACTAAGACAAACAAGTAAGGTGAAATAGGATCACCTTGGCGGATACCACGTGACGGGTTGAAACTTCCCCCTTGTGAGCCGTTCCACAAAATTTGCATTTCAACAGAAGATAGGCACTGATAAACAATGTCAATGAAGTTTGTAGGAATATTAATTTCTCTAAGGCATTGGATAACAAAGTCCCACTGGACTCTATCATAAGCTTTCTCTAAATCAATTTTTAGGGCCATGAACCCCTTTTTCTTCTTCATCGTTCTCATAGAATGAATAATCTCCTGTGCCAAGATTACATTATCATATATTTCTTTGCCCGGGATAAAGCTGCACTAATTCGGCCCCACCACACTTGGTAGAAGCTTCTTAAGCCTATTAGCTAAGAGTTTAGTAACTCCCTTATAAATCACATTACACAGACTTATTGGTCGAAAGTCACGGAAATTCTGGGGCTTATCAATCTTAGGTATCAAAGCTATATTGGTTCCATTCACCCTTTTAATCTCCGTCGGGTGTTGAAAGACATTTTCCATAAAATTAACAACTGAAGGACGAACCACGTCCCACTGGCTTTGGAAAAATAAAGGATTCAGCCCATCCGGTCTTGGAGCTTTTAAAGACCCCATATCGAAAATAGCTTGTCTTACTTCTTGCGCTGTTACACTCTGACCCAACATCACAAGAGTTTCGTTATCAACCTGGGGGAATGTGCTTCCAAACAGGATATTATTGTGTTCAGTACCATCCTCTAAAAAAAGATTCTGGTAGAAAGTTGCAC